TTGCAGACAACAATGCATGTGATAGAAGTGTGCCCAACCAATCAGAAGGGCAGTTTACAGTGCTTAGCCTCCATGGATTGGAGCCTGCATATTGAGCTCTGATGTTTTCATAGAGACTATTGTCTAAACCCACCATTCTCTGGCCAAACCTCAGAGAGTTTACTCCAATGATCATTCTCCCTAAATTCTTTGGTGCTTTTTATGCTGTTGGTCATCCTCTCCTTGACATCTTAGGGCCTTTGTGATACTTTCTTTTTCTAGTTCTCCTTCTTCCTCTAGTTATTGCTTTAGCTCTAACTCCTTCCCACTCGTGCCATCTTCACTGATTCATTTTTAAGATTTTGGTATCTGTGAACGCAACCTGTGAGAGCCTAAGACCCTTCTGATGGTTACTGCATTCTTGACATCTTTGTTTTTGAAAGTATTCAGTAATGCATTATGGGTTAAGATAATGGATTTTTCTCCCCACGCCCAGAAGCATACCAGTCCATACTGATGGACTTGAGGATAAAGGGAAGTTAAATTTTCAACCGAGGTGGTTGAACTGAATTGATTTCAAGCAGCTAACCAGGAGATTGAGCAGTTTTGTTTTTCTCTGTTTGGAACTGTCTCGGGGATGTGTGCGCCCCTTCAGTTTCTTTTCTCACAACTCCAGATAATTTGATTTAGTGAACAGGAATATAAGAGGAGTCTGTGTATTCAAAAAATAACCATCGCATGTTTGAGGGTGTTTGTTGGCATGCTTCAGAAAGCAAAGAGAAAGCCAATCCAAGTTTTTGGATACAACTCACACAAACCAAATTCTAGTCATTTTGTCCTATGTAGCTCTTTATGTTGCACTCATCATCACAGGTCTAAGTGTCTATAGCAAGGTATCCCATACTAATGCGCTGGGGGTTACCACAATGGCAGGTGAAAAGGTGAAAATTAAAGATCCCACAATACTAGTGGCCTAATCGGGACTCTCTGTCTCAATTTAGAAAACCAACAAGAAGTAACAGATTTTAGGCCCTGATTCAGAAAAGCAACCCTGTTCAGGACAGCACTTAAGCATTATGTAAATAAAATTAAGCATATGCTTAATTTTTTTTCTAAACCGCTGTAGATGACCTATTCATGGAAACAAATTGGCATTTTGCTTACATTG